GCTGCCAGTCGCGCGGTTGGCTGCCGGGCGCGCTGCTGCCGCTGCGTGCGGACAGCGCGGCCACGACCGGCCCTTTCCGGCCGTCCGGCAATAACTTCCGAACAAACTGACCTCACTTAGCATGACATGGACGTAAGAACATAAATATACTGAAAACATGAAGATTTACATAAAGGACTGAACTTGGCCACGGCGGACGCACCGTGCGCCGCCGACGGCATTAAGCCGTTTCACGACCTATACTCATTATATCTCGGCAATTCAAATTTACTGAACTTGAACATGACTTTATTGAACATGATAACAGATAATTAATCGGAGAGTTGAACTTAACATGCAATAACACGAGAGCGGTCCGTGGTGCGCACTAAGTGTGCGACCACACCTCTTCGACCAAAGCACCACCTCATGGCTAATTATCCGAACCATTAGCTAATCTAAACATGATATTGCAAATAAAGGCTAAACATGCAAGAATGGCCGGAGAAAAATAACTTATAACATGACATGGTCGACACGGCTACGGCTACGGCTCATACTACCCATAACACGCATGAACGCCTAACGGAAAATCGAATAAATAAACATGATAGTCTCGGTCTACAACCGTCGGGAGTTACCTCTTTTTAAGCTCAAGTGACTAATCTTGTCGAACTCCCGCACTCGGCTGTGACCCTCCGCGTGTGTACGACGCCGTGCGGTAGCGTGCGATGGCTTATGGTGCGTGCGGTGGCTTACGGGTACTCTCGGCCAAGGCTTACGAACAATACTCAAAATTCTCACAACTCTCACTCATCTCTCGGCGGAAAGAACTCATATGCCGAACTAAACATGTGGAGAGGGTGAAAGGAAAATTTCTACCAACACCATGCATATATGCATATAATGCCGAAAGAAAAGGCTAGGGAGGAAACATATGGTCAAAGCATAGGACACATAACACTCATGCATAAAGGCTTAGGCCACTTGGCACCACATGCAACTCTTCCTTGGCCTCACTAAGGTCACGTGAATTACCAAAACAAAATGTAGAAGTGTTGGTCAAATTCCCCTTAACTCTACATGAAAATCCGCCCGGCTAATAGACAAAAAGGGGAAGGAATCTTGGGAACAAACCACTAACAAAAGGACAATAGAGGGCACGGCTATCTAGCATGATTTTGAATCTCCAATGTTTAACAAAACATAGTGCACGACAATTAGGAATAAAAGAAGGAAATTGAACCAAATACACTAATATACCTCACTTATACACACGGCATTTAATATACTAATGGTGATTAATTACCATTAATCACAAATTAAGGCTTAATCATTTAATTAAGCATAATACTTAATTACCAAAATTTATTTCGAACGTAAACGGTACGTCGAAAACAATTTCCGGTAATTTCGACTGAACTGACTGAAAATAATTAATTCCGAAAAAATAATATCGGAACTAAAACATAGTTATACTGATAAATTGTCGGGATATTACAGTAAATATCCTAATAGCACATCGAACACATAATATCATTACCCAATTCATTAAGTATGTCGACCCGGCTTGGATCTCACCCAAAGAATCAAAGCAACAACAATTATGTGCACATGCCTATTTAATATCTTACGGGTTAAGAGCACGCAATAATTAACTGAGGCCTAGTTCGTTTACGATGATCAGTATAAAACGAACATCCCTCTTTGGGATCCTGTTCAATACATAAATGTACTAGTGCAACTAATCGGTCAAGACAAACCGTACGGTTTACACTACAACCGTTCCGATGGGTTGTTCAATTCCATCTAGGTTGTGAACCAATTATTCTTGTTTCGCAAGTAACTGATATAGTGATCTTCGGTACGCCCGATGACGACCCACTTATCTACATGCAAAACAACAGAACGTGGAACTTATTTGACCAAACATAATTCTCATTCATCAAGAAATAACAAGTGTAATATCCACTAAAGCAAAGTTTAAGTATATAACACCAACACTTAATAGCTCACAAATCTCTTGACGAGTCGCTAAATTAACCCGAGAAAGCTAGAGTCGAATTATCGGATAAACTGGATTAAATCGACTGTCTTGAAAATACTCTATTACTGACTCAAGCATCTATACTGGTTTCTAGGGTCGAATATTTGACACCCTACTGAGCACAGACTTACGCATTTCTTTACATATATAAACTGTAAATCAGCACTTACCTGGTAGTCGGCAAGGCGTGAGCGTGGCGTGGTCGGGTTTTCTGAAAACTTCCTGACTCAGTAAAGTATTCAGATACACAAAAACGTGCTCTGATACCAATTGTAACAACCCGCTAGCTTATTAAAATCAGAGTTAAATTTTCGCAAATACTTTTCTATAAATATATATTAGTTTGGGAAATCGTGATTCGGGATGCTACTGGAAAGCCTTTCTTTTCTAAAAATCCGTTATCTTTTCTGAATTAAAACTGTTAAGAAAAACAGAATATCTTAAGCATGTGAAACTGTACAAGATCCGACTGGGAAATCGGACCAAAACCTGATAATCAACATGCGAGTTTGAAAACTTGGAAATGTCAGCGGAAGTATAATCGTGGAAAAATAAATATATACATGTCAAAAGTCTGCAAAATAAAATGTACTCGAACCCACAACCACCGGCTCCGCTCACTCCTCGGGACCGTCCCTGTGACCTGAAAAATATAATATAGTGGGGGCGTGAGCACTAAAAGCCACTGTGCTCTGCAGAAACTCATGCTGAAATAAAACAGTAATCATAATTGCGATATCATGATCAGAGGCATATATATAATCTGTGTCTATGTCCATGTTTGGCTGATCAACAGTATAAACTGCTACAGGATCAAATATCTGCCGGCTATAATAAACTCCGCCGGAACCATGTGCACACCCTAGTGGGCAGATTACGCCACTAGAACTCAGAATGGATTTAGGGCACCTGAACTGGCCACCATTCTAAGCGGAACTGGTATATACTCTCGAACATGATAGCTGTAATTATACTCAATGTAATACTCAGTCTGAGTCCCCACTTGAACTGCTGGTTTGTAAGTGCTGCTGCTGATCAAACTGTAAAAATATATAAATAAAAAAATACTAAGTACTATGCTCAGACTGACTGAAATTAACTTCTAAGATGTCGACTCGAACTAAAATATTTAACTGGATTTACTGGAATAATCTCGGGTCTAACATGACTGATAAATCTGAACTAAACTGGAAATACTAGTACTGCTATACTGGACTGACTGGACTGAAAGCTTAACTGAAATACTGAACTGAACTGACTGGACTGACTAAACTCGGACAGGGTCACTGAGTCCTGAACTGCTCGAGTAACCGGTCTGAACTGGCTGGTTCACTGGCAGGCCGGACCGCCGGCTCGCTGTGGCCGGGCAGCCAGCGACCGGCACGGTCGCACGCACACACTGGGCGCGGCATGGGCGCTGCTGGGCGCTGCTGGCGCCGGTGATGAGGGATCGTGATTTTTGCCTATTGGTTATGAATAATTGCGCACTCAAGGCCTTCGACTAAACACGATAGGTGTGACTAATAGACGCACTCAGTGCCTTCTCTTAGACACGGTTGTATGATAAACACGCACTACGGCCTTGCTTAAGCACACGACTGAGCACAACGTTCCTTTCCTATTCACTAATTCAACCATTCAACCATGCAAATAATGAAGAGGTGCATGGGTATTTATAGGTGCATAAATTAATCTAAGCCTAATCAAACTAGATCTCCTAAATCATGCAATAAAATAAATCCTAAACATATTAGAAGTAAAAAAAGCAATATGGAAATAGAATCCTAATTAACTAGCATGTCTTGAACTCCAAGTAACTTGATGCCCAAGTAGTTCGGCCGCCCTACACGCACATCGCCCTCATGCGCGCGCCGACCTCACGATGCCTATTCCTTGTGGCACGTGGCTTCGCGCGCGCGCTGCTCCCACGCATCGCCCACCCCCTCTGATACTTCTACTCCCGCACGGCATGGGTCGTCCGCGTCGGCACTCCACTCGCGCGCCTGTGCGCGCACTCCGTTACCGTCGCCCAGCTCCTGCGCGTGTGTGCCACCTGCGCGAGTGCCACGCACGCCACTTGCGTCCGTCCCGCTCGCGCTGTCGTCCCGCGCCCCGCGCGTCGCACCCAGCGCCCAAGCGCTCCAATCGCCTACCGTGCATCCCCGTGCACCGGCTGCACTACGCTTACCGCTAACCTCCGTGGCCGGCTCGTCTGCTGCGCACCCGCGTACGTCCAGCGCCATTCGCGTGCCTCTCACTTCCTCGCACGCATCCTCTTTCTCACTTGACCACTTTCGCGCATCAAGTCCCGATGCGCGCTCTTTGCTCGTGCTCGCCCCTTCATCGCCGATCGACTCCGACTGCTCGCCTGATGGTCCTAGTCCATCCCATGGGTCCCAACCTTCGACACACCTATCTTCTGTCTCCTTGCAATCTCCGACACGCCATATCCATCCGTCCTCCATCCTTTGATTACCACGCCTTCGAACCTCCGAGCGCCATGCTCGTTTCTTTCTTGCACAAGGCCCACACCAACGGCTTGCCTTCTTAGCCTTTGCCCTGCTTTGTCTCTTGGCCTTGCGTTTCCTAGCCTTCAACTTCAACCTTGGACCACATCCTTTTGGCCAATCTCTCACGCATGAAGGTCGATAAATTGGGCTTGATGGCTCCTCCGGCATGTTTTCCAACCATATATCGAGATCTTCGACCATCCCGTCACTTGACTCACTGAGGTTAATAACCACTTCCGTATCATTCCCTTCCTCTTTAAGACATTCCTTATCCTCAAGGATAACGAAATTCAGCGTACCTTCATCATCATTGTTTTGAATTTCGGCCACTTTAGCTTCCCTGGCTTCCATGAGTTGTCGTTCGAACTATTCTATATTCCTTCGCTCGTGAAGCTCCTCCAAATATGTTTGCTCCCACGGAGTTAAACTCCTCTCCAAACATTCGAGATATGCGAGATCCTCCCAATCCAACTCATCCAATGGCTCGAACATCATTATATATATATATATATATATATA